CAGTTAACCTTTGCAGAGAGGGTTAGTCAGATATGGCACTATCATAATGTAGTGGAGAATAAACATGGGAAATTTTTTTTAAGAATTTTCTCATGTGTTTTTCTTGTTTCCGTTTCAGAAAAAAATTTTTAAAATGGTTATGTCTAGTAAAGAAAAAATCTTTCTTTATTGTCATATAGTTCCTTTTTATGTGAATTTTTTTTTTCATGGCAATTTTTGGCTAAATTTTTTTTGCGGATATTAATGTCGTTCTCCAGTGCCACGTGATCACCCTTGACGAGTATATCCGTCGATCACTGCAGAGTGGTTAAACTGATTGAAAACATTATTTATTAAATTTCATTGCTGGATTTTTTAAAGGTGTTTTTTTTTTATTATAATCTATCCAGTTGATACAAAATATATGTATATATAACATTAATTTGTAAATTTTTTAAAGCTATCCAAAAAATTTTTATTTATTTAAGAATAAGTAGTTTATTAAATAACAAAAAAACTGTGTATATTTAAATTTGAAATTTTAACTATATATATAATGTATATATGAATATTTAAAATGACAAAAAATTTAAATACTTTAATTTTAAACTTGATTTCTCTTTTCTGTTTAAATTTCTAGTTTTTAAAACCTTCTCTTCTTTTACTGCTGTTTCTGTAAAATAAGAGCAAAAAACAATATTTTTATAAAATTAGATTAAGATAAAGATAAACAACATGCATGTACAATATTTATAAATTTTTTATACTTTTATTAAATACAATAAAATAAATAAAACTGAGGTCTGCTTGCCAGTTATGCCACCCAGACCCTGAGCAAGCCTTTGTTTCCAGAAGTATATTGCATTACTTTATAAATAAAACTATTAATACATCATATAATGTAACTTATATTTGAAAGTTTTATGAAGTGTTTTATAAATCTATAACATTCTGTTTATTTATTCATAGAAATCTTGGTATAAGGCACTGAAATCATTCTTGCTAACTTTGAAGATCTAAAGATTCCTAAAATACAAAATACTAAAATTTATCATAAAATATTTTTTAAAATGTTTCTATATTCTGTTAGAAAGTAGTAATTCAACAACAGCCAGATTCATATTAAAATGATAACACTTTGATATAAAGATCTGTACTTTTATTGAATAAAACATTAACTAAGACTTCTGTTGCTCATGCTTTTATGGAAAAATTTTCTTCCCTTTAAGCAAAACTAGCATGTTCAACTTTAAGATGTTATGATAATTTCTCAAGAATAGCAAAACAAACAGAGACAGTGAAAGCCTCACCTCAGAATCTTGTTTTTCTCCTGAATCATTGGCAGATGACTAGCAGGGGCAAATTTGCATAGAGACAATTGAATGAGATGCATGCGATGGCTATGTGTCATGCCATTAGTATCCCAGCATTATTAGCTTCATTTGCACTGTGCACAACAGAAAAGCTTGGACTACTACAAAGTGACAGTGTGTTATCTTTAATTAACAACAAATTCCAGTTATGTTTGGGAACTGACAACTATCATGCTAGAATGTAGGGGACTACTAGTAAGTACCTCAATCTCACATTTACTGAAAAGTGGTAACTGCCCTCACTATTGGCATTCTGGTCTGAGAAATTATCTCATATGACAGTAAGTCACCCCTAGTAATGGTACAAGGGAAACTGACAGCATAGCAATACATTTGAGAAATCCTGTATTATTTTGTGTTGCCTTTTTATAGTAGGGCTGAAAACAACCATTTTTCAGGAAGATAATGCTTCATGTTACCACACTTCCTTTGACTGCCTGATCTCCATATTTGTCATAAATCAAGAATTTGTAGAACCACACAAAACACCAGCTTCAGCCTTCTACATGAGGGATCTGAAACAGCAACTGCAACATCTGTGGAAAAATCTGTGACAGAATAAGTTCATTTAAATTGTATCTTTGTTCCACAGGAAACTGTCCCTTCTCTATGATATTGTAATCACTTATTGCTATCATTATTATGTTAACACTAATAAAGTTTAATTTGATTCCAATGTCTCCTTCTTAATACATAACTTTTTGTTAATGATTGTGTATTCACAAAAAGGTTAAAAAAACAAATTTTTCCATTATTATTATAATAAAAATTAAAATATAAGTTAATTATAACATTTTTATCAAATATATTAAAAATCTTACAAAACACTATACATATACAATTCATTCTATATAATAATTTGGAAAATTATGACATTTCAATCTCACTTTGAAAACATTTTTGTTATTGACAATGCACTAAAATCATGTCAATGAATTTGACCAACAGATTAAGGCCTGGCACAAACCAGTTGATATTAAAACAAAATGGTTTCCTTTGAAATCAAAACAAATTTTCCCAAAATTGAGTGTGCAAATACACTCACCCAGTGGAAGACTCAAAGTCAATCCTTTTCACAAAGAGTACATTCAACTTGTACACTTTTGTTTGGTAACTAGAAACATTCATGCATAGTCAAAAGTGTGCCAAGAGAGAAACATGCAACACAAACATATGCAATACAAAACTATGCTTAACAAAATTTTTAAATTAAATTATCTGTATAGTTTTACAGTTTTTGAACTGAAGATGCAACAAAAAACTTCACTTAAGATATTGTCTCTTATTGTTAAGTTCTTCAACTAAATTATTCATAATTTCCTGTTGTCAATGTTCTTGTCATATCCTCATTTTCTTCTTCTCTTATTAAATTAATTTAACTATTGACAGTAAGAAAATACATAGTGGTAGCTGATGCTAAAAGCAGATCATCAGTAATGATTAAAGCCATTTTGTAAACAAACAGCACATGACAATTACTCTACAGGACAATAGTTCATAGAGATATATACAAAATACTCATTTGGTTGTTTGAAACGCACATAACTACTGACTCCATGGATTGTTTAGTTTTCTAGCATATGGAGCAATCATTGGTAGTCAAAACAGTTTCATGACTGTAAAAATCAATTTCTGTATTCACAATGAAACAACCATATTGACTAGTTTGCACCAGGCATAAGATATATATAAAAAATAAAATACTAGATAACACTGTTATGATGTATTGATTCTATTTTTAAAATACAGTAGAGCATCGATTATCCGACTCAATTGGGGACTGGGGTTGGTCAGATAACTGAAAAAACGGATAACCGAAAAATACGAAAAAATACATTATTAGTATAGTATATTAGTATATCACTATTAATTAGTTAAATGTAATTAGTATATTAGTATATCATTAACCTACTTCGCTTTGAATTTTCATCGATGTTAAGTCTAACAAAAATTTTTTAAAATAATAATCGTCGCTATTGTATCGTTAAAAATTGGAAAATTAAGCCTCGTTTAAATACTGGCTCCCTTTCATGGTCGAGCCATGTTGCCAGCTAAAATACATAAAAGTACTATTAAAGTAGCCAAGGCATAACCAAATATTGTAGTGCCACATCACTAGCAGACATTTGAATTTGCCGACTAGAACAGTCGGTTAATCGATGTGACGGTTAATTGGGGGTTGGATAATCAATGCTCTATTGTATTTCCTATTTGTTTCATTAATCTCTCTTAATTAAAAAAGAACAATTTTAATGAAATAAATAAGAAGTAAAAGCTGGATAAAAACATTATACTATATAGTGATTATATGTAACATATTTAATCATTATTTAACCATTACATAATTTTTTACGTAATGATGTACGTTTTAAGTTTTCTCTATAAGAGAAACCTTAGAAAACTGATTTGAAATAGCTCTTTCTTTTTAAAGTGGAGTTAATAAGTTTGTCCATTTTTTTAATTAATAGTAAAGCAATATAAAGATATACAAAAATATTTACCATTTTCTGCAGAATTTATTTTATTTTCATTATTTAATGATTCCAAATGTTTGTCCTATATAAATTAAATTAAGCAATATATAATTATTTTAAAATTAAAAGATTTATAAATTTTAATAATATAAATATATTAATAAAATGTATAGACTATTTTCTTGAAAACTTAAAAGATTTTATTATTAAAACTGACATTAATGAATGCTTAAGAAATGTGGGTGATAAAATTCTCAAATTAAAATGGTTGACCTGCAATGCTAGTTGGCTACCACTACAAATTTCCTACAAACCTCAGTTAATGACGACAAAATTATAATCCATCCTCAATAACACACCAATCCACATTCTAATTATCTTTAAAAAGTAAATGAATAATAAAATTAAATAAATATTCTTTAACTGGTTTAACTTTAACAACAATCAAAATCTCCGAATCCGGCTGAAGAGAATTTACAGGACCACAAGGAACCCACCAAACTATCAAAACCCTATCCCTAACTATTTCAAACTCTCAAAAATGCAATACTCTCACAATAATCTCCATGTCTCTCCTTATACTCTTCATAATAATTACCTTATACTTAAATAGCTTAAAACAGAGCAAATCTTTGAAGAAGATTAGGTGAGAAATCTTTAAGTATCTAAGGCCAAAGCATCTTAAGATCAAAAATCTAATGTAAATCTACTTCAAAGACTAAGAGGTTAACAACAACANTACAGTGGTACCTCAGGATACGAAATTAATCCGTTCCGAAACTGAGATCGTATCATGAAAATGTCGTAAGGTGGATCATCTTTTCCCATACGATTACATGTAAAATCAAATAATTCGTTTCAACGCGAAAAACATACTCAAATTAAAGCCAAGTAATACATTAAAAAAATAACTGTAGTAAGAAAAACAAATGAAAAATGCGAACTAATGTAATGTCGTATGGTGAGTTTTTGTTCGTATCGTGGAGCAAAAATATGTTCGAATTTCATGTCGTATCCTGAAAATTTCATATGCTGGGACGTTCGTAACCTGAGGTACCACTGTAGCTAAAACTGGCCTGGGGAGAACATTTCTCATGTATGAGTGAGTGAATATGTATGAAATTGTGAACTTTGAGTTAGTTTTTCAAATCTTTAATCAAATTTTACATATACATTTCTAAAATGCCTAAGAACTTCTTAAAAGTTTTATGGATACACATCAGCAGATTACAAAATTTCATGGATTTTTGTCATTTGCTCTTCATTTTTGGCCAGTCATGTATCTGATATCATTCTAATTTTCCCTGAACTATCCTAAAATCTAAGAAATATATGAAAAATTAGCATTATTCAAATGATAGTAGCATTATTTTTAGCCAATCACAGACAACACAGCCTTTTAAACTATGAAAAATATGTAATTTTCATGAGAATATTAAATTTTTTTTAAACTATTAAACTAAACTAACAAGTTGATAACGTGTAACTACTTTTTACAAGATAATGTGTAATTACTTTCATTTCTGATTGCAGCTTAGTGAAAAGAATATGCAAATGCTTAATAAAGAACATGAGATAATGAAATATGGCATGAGACATGAAATGCTTGTTTTGATGACTCATTTGCCAAGTTGAAAACACAAAATTTACTGTTAATTCTTTCTTTAATTGTGTTCTCTCAAAACAGATATCATTTACAGCATTGAATCAAATGACAAGAATGTTATATAATCGTGAAATCTGACATAGGATAAGGAATGTTTCAATCTGAATAGCAAAATTATTTGTTATCAGATACTACCAATGTAAAATAATCAATTGCAAAACATTTCCGTAAATACTATATATTTATAAATATATTTCAATATTTTCTAATTTAATTTTCTTTTCATGTTTAAAAACTTTTAGAATGTAATATAAAATTTTTTTGTAATAAAATTAATAATAAGAAAATTTGATTAATAACTTTTTAAAAATTATTAATCAAAAGTAAACATTTCTTGAAATTAGGAAACCAAGAGAATATTCCTTTGTTGTGTGAATAATGATTGTAATAAACTCAAGCATCAGATACAGTTTAGAACACATTTTTACATTGTATGAAAAATTTTTCAAATAACTCAATTTTCACTCTACAGAATTTTCTTTAAGAAACACAGTACACATTAATAACAATCACTGAAATTCTATAAAATAACAGTTTATTAAAAATTTTAAATAAACTATTATTTTTTTACAATCTCTCTCATTACATTTTCATCTTTAAGAAACAAAATTTAAACTTTATTCTAAATAACATCATAAATTTTAAAGGCTGACAATATTTTATTTTCTTGGAATTTATTTGTATGTAAAGATGTTTTAATTAAAATTTTATAATATACTATGAAATAACAACTCAATAATTTAACTTGTAAAAACTTACTTCAAATTTTTTAGTATCGTCATTTGACTTAATTAGCGATGATCTTAAGTCAGTTGTTTCCACTTTAATTTGCTTTGAATTATTAGTTTTAGTCTTCTGTTTTTGCCATAAAGTAAACAATTCATTCTGTTTCCCTTTATTTGATGAAACCTATAAAATATTAGTATGATGATATCAAAATAAATAAATATCACTTTTGGTAGCTGTTATTATGATCTATGTATGTCTCTTTAATCTGATATTAAGTT